CAGCGTATCAGGTCGTACACACGCGCATTATTTGTTATTGTATGTTATCGTCATAGGGTTTTCGACGCATTTTGTATTATTATTTTATTTGTTTTATTCGCCGTCTTCGACGTGCACCATATATTGTTTTCGCCGATCGGCTTGTGATCGCGCACCACTAACACTAGTACATAAGGTTAAATTGCAGAACATATAATAAATTATTTGTATATTTTAGACAGCAAACAATTGCTTTATATTTGCGTTACCGCAGTAGGTTAGATATCTCGTGTTGTCGTTACAGTGTTAAGTTCCTGTCTCAACCAGCTCCTATTTTTCTATCTATTTTAATACAGTCCACTCACTCCCACATTACAGGGTTATCGACAGGTCGCCGACGAGGTAAGTTTCACACGTGACGCGCTACGTGTAGCCGCAATCGCATACGCGTACACGCGTCAACGGGCTTGATGTGCAGCCGTCGCACACATTTTATACAAATATGTATGCTAAATTCATACTTGATTTATATAAAAAATATAAAAAAAATAAGTTATTATGATTGTCGTTTATCTGTAATAAACAGTTTACTTTCATTTAAATCAAATACTCCATAGTCCATCACCACAAGTTCCAATATTAATCAGACCCGAACATTTACCTACAAAAGTGGAGAAAAATAAAAAAACAGACCTATTCGAAAAAGATGTCGAGAGTGCGCTAAAGAAGGAACTAGAACAGAAACAACTTATTTTTGTTCACAATGTGACGGACAACCAGGACTATGTTTGGAACCGTGCTTTTTGAACTATCATAAACAACAGTGAAGAATTGTTTATAATTATTTTGATTTCAGTACAGTATAGGTAATACTGTATTATATTTATTTGTTATTTACTTTTATCATATTATAAGATTTAAGTATACATTGTTATTTTAAATTGTAATATTTCATTCAAGACGAATGTTAAAAAAATAAAAAATTATTGCAAACTGTATTATTTGTATTTTATGAATCAACATTATTTTAACCGTTACTCTATAATTATTTATTTAATAATATATGAAATAAATTATTATTTTTAATTAGTTACATACTAGGATAAGTACGTATTGCAGCGTCGCGCCGTCGCGTATCGCCGGTGTCGACGCATAGTCGACCGTACGTAGTTTCGGCGCGGCGACGAGGGCACTGCGCCGTAAACACTAGCGGCGCTAAAAGTGTTAAACAGGAAATCTGTAAGTTGTGCTGCTATTTCTGGATATTTATTAACATATTCAACGATTGACTGAAATCCATCTTTAATTGACGGGACGATATCGCCTTGGCGTATTGCTGACAAATATTGCAAAGCAAGGATCTTCAGTAAAATAAAAATTATATATAATTTCTATGTAAAGTCAATTAATTTGTTAGTTCAGATAATTAATGATTGTTAAACAATTACAATTCTAAGCACACATGCAGATATGGAATTAATTTTCATTAAATTGAACACCCTAACCCTTTTTTTTGCATGGCGTATGACAGCTTTAATAAGTTTAAAATAATTTAAATAAGCTAAATAATATTGTTATATTATGTACTTGAAAGAAGTGAAAATAGCATCCTTGATGTTGACTTTCTGGAAAAACAATTCTGATCTCATTAATGAGACCAAATTCAAAATCGGTAATTAATATTAAATTGTTGTACAATAAGGGCACCACATTTCTTATGTACAACAACAACGCGACATAAATATCTTCAGTTTTTCCAGTTAGCATTGCATGCACCAGTGAAAAAGTATGTTAAAAAATATTACAGAATAGTTCACTAATTAATTGAATAGGTAAACTAAAACGATTAATTGAAACTTACAGCATCTGCATAAATCACATGGAAGGTAAATAACTAGTACGCATCAATTTCTAAAAATTTAGGCACTACTTTAATTGTGCCATCACATCCAGCAACACGGACATATATATACAAAGCAATGAATTTTTACAATTGGTTGTGAAGAAATGTCATTTAATAAACCTACATTTTTTAATTCTCTCGTTATTTTTTCTATGTTTGTTGTATTACAAAACAGCACACCTACAACTATAAGTACATACCATTATCGACTACATTTTGTATTAATTTTCCGTCACCATAATTGTGATCATGCTGAACGACATACTGCAACAGAAATATTATAATTACAGCTACTGCAATAAAAATTGCAATAGAAAATTTTCATTTTTTTTACACTCAAACCCAAATTAATGTTGTTAATCGAATAAGTTGTGGTGTTGGCCTAATTTAATTTGCTATAAATAATAATTTCCTTCTTCTGAATCTATGATACACATTAAAATTTGGTCATAGTAAAAAATATATTATGTTCATAGATATTTTTTCTATTTTTCAGATATAAAAAAAGCAAGGAGTATTCACACTGCTCGTAGATACTATATGTATATGTCGTATAAATTTAATACATTCATAGCGTAGCTCAGTATCTAAAAAAACATAATGCGGTTTCTAAGGGCAACATAATTATATTAATCAGCCTCAACACGATGACGTCAACCCGCTTTCCATATTGCACAAAATGATAGAATGACCCCAAGCCAAATTAAAACTGAATTCACAGGTGCTAATAAAATGATAATAATTATTTATTGCTTCTAACTATTTTATACTTCTAATCAAGATCATTAATAGTAAATACATACCATTCTCAGGATTTCTTATGTCATAATTATGGTCATGAAGAATATCTGGAAAATCTATAAACATGTAACAAATATATATTTTAATTGATTTTTCAATAAAATACAAACAACAAACCATTATTTCAGTTTTATAATAAGTGAGAAACTTTTAAGCAATCAAATATGATATACAGTAGTCGCCGCTTATTGGACTCACTTTGGGACCCAACAATTTGAGTCCATTAACTGAATGAGTCAATAAGGCGAATGACTCAAAACAATTTTAAAAACTTAAAAACTTAAAAATATGTACTAGTTTTAGTTCCTCTAGTTTTTTTCATTTTTAGACGCGTAAGTGTGCTCAGGTAATGCCCTGAAATAAAGTCCAGTTTCATCCAGGTACCGACATATTTATAACACGTTTGTTCGATGTATGCATATATTTTATTTATTTATCTAATTTTCAAATGACCCTATTAACCGGTGTGTGAGTCGAATAAACGATTTTTTGCTGTGTGTTATGTGAGAATCAGGACCAGCCGTTTTGAGTCTAATAGGCGAATGAGTCAATTAACCGTGAGTCCAATAAGCGGCGACCACTGTAATATATTATGATGTATTTATACTATTAAACTCAAATATCAATCTCATAATATTATGACCAGGGCTCGGAACTTTATGCGCTAAAAAACCATGAAATATGTGCATACTTATGCACTAAAAAAAACCAAAATATGCGGTATAATATGCATTTATTATTTTATAAAAGATGTATTTAAAAGCATAGTTAATAATTATAAAAACAAAATTTTTTTTTATTTTATTTGTATTTTTCTTTTGATAATGAAGCTGTTCTATACTGGATCTATTCCCAGAGTCCTAAATTTAAAAAAAATAGAATTCATCAAATACAGCGATTATTAAATCATGTTAGGTATTCATTGTTATATTTACCTGAATTACACTGAATGATAAGATGCTTTTTTATGTTTTCAAGTTTAAATGATCGTCTGTTGTGGCTCAGAAGGTTTTTGTAAACAGTAAATGATCTTCCGACATCCACTGACGTAATTGGTGCGTACTTGTAGAAAATAAGGTCATTTGTTGTCAGATCTTCGGGAAGACCATCCATGGTGGAGATAGATAGATCCACTAAGTATTGACGAGATTTGTTTTAATGTTTTTAAACCGATATTTTTAGACAAAACATTTTCCATTTTTTCATAGACTTTTTTCCCTGGTTTACCTTGAACGGATTTTAATTGTGTTTGAACATTGTCCACGATACTCAACGATTCAGCTAAATGCATGTTTTTAAAAAGTATTTAAACGACTACTTAATTTTTTTTTTCTTTAGGCATTTTAATTTTTGTCTGACAAATATTAAAATCAGAATATTACGTGGCACATAAGCGGTAAACGAACAATACGAACTACGAACACACTAATTTATTAAAGTAACAGACCACTGTTATCGAATATGTTTTCGACACACGATCAAACACATACTAACACACACCACGAATATACAATATGCTAATTCATTGCCCATTGGTTTTAATTTTGTTTAATTTTATCTAACGAGCGACTTCAATTTAAATTAAAACCTGGGCCGTCATTACGATAAGAGTAACGGCCAATTCTGATTTCTTAGTAAAAACACTATAAACCATGCGGGCACAGAACAATATAGAAGCGAAACTTGATCAGCTGATTGGGGTATTGGTTACCTATGATCTGAAGTCTGAACCTACGAAAAACATGGAATTGGTTACCGCACCAACATGATGTTAGACCCGTGGTTACCAATATTATGAAATCGGTTCCAAGACTAAGGCGTGATACGGGACCCGGGGTCGGCTTGTTTACCATTCCCTATTTCACGTATGCCACGCCCTCCTGAATACCATGTTCAATACCTGTACAAATATTTGATTGTAAATCTGATTTTATTAATTTTGTATCATTATCATAGTCATCTAAAGATGTTTCACATGTTTCAACATTGATTTCTGAAAAATAACATTGAACTTCTTGTTTGGCTAAAAAAAAAATTATTTTCAGCATTCTTTTTTTGTTTTAGAATAATTCATATATTTAGAATTAATGAAGATAATAATTTGGCTATTCAAAATGAAATAATAGAAATTCAAAATAAGATATGAATATCAAACTAAAAAACTTACTCCCTTTTTTAAGTATCTTGGCCTTATATACAAGGTGTATCAAAAGTCTTCATCCGATTTCAGAATATTATAATTATATTAAAAATGAAGATATAAGGGTTAAATAAAGTAAAATATATTCTTAAAATAGTCAAGTTTTATTTACTTTGGTTACAAATGTTCAATATGACTCCCACCGGCCGCCCGACACACATCTATACGGTAATCAAATTCTTCCCAAACGTTGCTGATCAAATCTGGTGTCACGGCATTAACAGCATCTTTGATTCTGATTTTAAGCTCTTCCAAGTTTGTAGGTAATGGTGGTACATACACTTAATCTTTTATGTAGCCCCATAAAAAAAAAATCACACACTGTGAGGTCAGGGAAACGTGGTGGCCAGGGATGAATCGCCAAATCGTCGTTTCCTTTACGCCCAATCCACCGCTGAGGGAGTTCACCGTTCAAATACCGGCGAACTTCTAACTTCCAGTGCGGCGGTGCTCCATCTTGTTGAAAAACAAACTCATCACTATCCGCTTGTAACTGTGGAAACAACCATGTTTGCAACATGTTTAGATATGTGTTACCCGTTACTGCGTTTTCTTCAAAAAAAAAAATGGACCGTAAACTTTTTTCCTGGAAATTGCACAGAAAACAATGATTTTTGGTGAATCTCTTTGATGCTCAACAGTTGCGTGTGGTTGCTCTAAAGCCCAAATCCTGACATTATGGCGGTTGACTTTTCCACTTAGATGAAATGTGGCTTCGTCCGAAAAAACAATGCGTGAGACAAATGACTCATTTTCTTCTTGTTTTTCGGATATGAAATTGCAAAAATCAATCCTTTTTTGTTTGTCATCCGGTAGGAGGGCTTGTAACAGTTGTATTCGGTATGCGTTCAATGTCAAACGACGTCGTAGAACACGCCAAACGGTCGAATGTGGGAGATCTAGCTCTAGGCCTGCACGACGTGTAGCCTTCTGTGGACTTCGAACGAAACTTTGTCGAACTCGCTCGATGTTTTCGTTAGAGGTACGAGGTCGACCTGAGCGTTTCTGTGCACACAGACAACCACTTTCTTAGAAAGTTTGGTGCCAACGTCGAATGCTTTGAGCAGTAGGAGCTTCAGTTCCATAAGTTCTTCGAAAATCACGTTGAACGGTTATCGCCGACTCGGCGATAAATGCTTTCTGTTGCGGAGTCACCATAACGAAACAAACTAACAATTCCTAGTTCACTAACCATTACGGTGCCAAATTTATCAACTAGATAACTTAAAATAAACTTAGTTATCTAATCTTTCCATTAATACATTGGTCATTATCCTGCAATTAACCGTTGCCGAATTATAACAGTTCGTAATTGGATGAAGACTTTTGAAACACCGTGTATATATCCACCTTTCCATTTGATAATTTGAATGAGCCAATTTTCATAATATATTAGGACACATATAGTAGATGTTATCATCTTTAAACTGAACTGCTAACCATTCTAATATAGAGTAAAAAAAAAACTGATTAAGGTACCAGTTACAAAGTAGTTATTTATGTAAGTACTTAAGTAATAAATTACTAAATTTAATAGATACATTAAAAATTTATATTTACAAAATAAGTAACCGTGTAACATATTTGTCTTATTAGTTACATCAGGGTCAGGGAGGCACCTATAATATTGTCATGTGGTCTGGAATGCTTAAACAAAGAGTGGCTTGTTTGATTTTATACTATTTTGTAAATTTAAGAGATAAATTGGGTGTTGGGTTTTGCTTTTGGTTGATATAAATTATTTAATATATTAATTTACTAAAACAAGGGTGCAAATTCTTTTAACGTTATGAGCTAAACTAACTAGAGTTTTATTCTAGCATGATATTATGAAAATAATAATATATAAATAGGTATATATGCAGTGGTCAAAGTAGGGTGGGGATATGGTGGTATGGAATGACTTCAATTTTTATAATTCACATTTTCCATTCCTTTACTTATTTTGTCAAAAATAACTTATTCCCTCCAATAGTTACATACAAAGGTAATAGATTCATATTGGTGTTTTTCATGAAAATTATATTTTTTTACAATGATTTTTTCATTAGTTCTACAAGAATACAATATCGTTTTTTTTAAATCATTAGGTAAGTTATTATTAATTTCACATTTAAATTGGACCACTTGACGTCTAAAATATATCAGCAATAATTAAGACACCAAAATGAAAAACAAATATGTACTTTGATATAAAATTGTTGTTTTATATATAAGGTGTTCAACTCTTCTCCACCTTCTATCACCTCCATGTGTGTAAATTATAATAATGAAAGAAAATTATAAAATCTAGGCATCCTTTCACTTATTTTGAGCCGCTTCGACCACTGTATATACCTCAGGAAAAAAATTTAGTATCCAACTTTAATGTACCTATTGTATCAATGTCATCTATTTTTTTAATGGACCTACAGTTAAATTTTCTTAAAACAAGGATAATGAAAATGTACCTCACAGTATGGTCCAATATAACATAAGTACCTACTGAGTATAATTGGTTCTGGAATTTAATTTTCACGTGCCATCTAAGCCACGCGTGCCACGGATTTAACATCCCTGTATTATAATCAAAGCCATACCGTTAAAATTCAGAGGCAAAATTAAAAATATTCGCCACCAATTTATTTATTTATATGCATTTGAGGACTTGAAATCAATAACGGGCTAAGTGCCGAAAAAAAAAAATTGAGTTAGACTCGAAAAACGGAGCTATGTGCCATCGCAAACAACCTATAAAGAGGGCTATGTGCCACGACCATAATATTGGTGAACAAATAGGAAACAAATGTCGTGAGAGCTATGTGCCGAGTGTGGTTATACCGGGCTAAAAATTGAATAACTCAGAAACAACTTTTTGGCACTTGGCCCGTTATTGATTTCAAGTCCTCATTTCATTTCTAAAGAATTGAATTTTTATATTTTATATTAATTATATATTATTAACTGTAAAATAATAATCTTTCTCATGTATTGTATTTACGTATAGTTTAAAATATTTTAAAATATTTTTTTTGGCGCCCCTTTAAACCATGCCCCTAGGACCGGCTCAGATTATAATATAGGTACAACAGAGAATGCTTATTATAGTCAGTTCAAGAAGAAGAGCCTCTTCGCTTCTGTATTCAATAGATACATACTTCAAAAATAAATAAAGATCATGTACTCTTACCTTTGAAATGATCACTAATATAACGAAGTTTTCGTCTTGTCATCTTATTCATCTTACAAATAATATTTCGTATTCAGTCGCAAGAACTTCAAATGAACGACAAAAATGGAAAATTTAACACAAATGGATCGCGCTACGGACATACAGCCATGAAAACGGCGAAAACCCGAGTATCGAAGTATATCTCTGAGAGATCACACAACGATTAATGATTACTAAATTGTCGGTTATTATCGACAACACATACGATTTTTCAAAGCTATTTATCGATATTCCAATACAGTGAACAACTAACAATTCTGGTAAAAACAATATATAAATAAAATTTGACTGCGTTATCAACCAATGGACTAGACGCCGAACGGTTGTGGAAAAACACCCTGAAGATAAACAACGTATAAACAACGATTACTCGTAGCCCGTAGGACGTACCAATACTGTTTTATTTATATCTATTTAATTATTATATGGTGTACGTTCTATAAATGCTTATCGCATATTCCTTATGTATAATATTTCTTCGACTGCAGAATAAGTTAGTGGTGTGCAGTGCACACCCCGGATCTCGCTACAAATGTGGATCTCTATGTTATGAACCGCTGTGATAAGAAACCGCTTTCGCGGCTTGCTTACACACCCGGGCGGTTTTAAAAGCGGTTTCGACCAGTTTTTTGGCGCCAATTTTTGAACAATACTACAATATTTAAAACAATATGATTTTAGCTCGACATAGTCATCAGTTGCTCTAAACACGTGGTTGAGTATAGACTTGTTTTAAGTAGCATTTTGTAACTTTGTATTTTGTGCATTTAAAAAATGGACCTACTATTATTGGATGACGTGGAAGCCATTGCTGTGGCACATGCGCTATATAAACGACATCAGCAAAAAAAAAAAAAATATCGAAGAGACGTTATTGGGTACATCCAATCAACTTAAAAAGGCCGCAAGAAGGCCAATTCAATGTTAACTTTATGGTACTTCAAGCACATCCAGAAGAGTTTTTCAAGTACTACCGAATGTCTGTACAATCGTTTGACGAATTGGTGAGTTGTTAAATATTTTATTTATAAAAAAGGAAAAGTAAGTAGGGTCATCCTCTTAGTAAATAATATAATATACTTTTAATAATATATTTTTATTCTAACTATAATGTAACTACTCATTACTATTCTTTTTTAGATTTCATTAAGCGAACCATTTATATCAAAACAATTGACAAATATGCGCATTCCAATTTCAAAAGAAGAAAGGCTGACAATTACTTTGAGGTAAGCACCTATAAGTACATATTGCAATAATAATAAATTCTTACATTTTATTTTGTAAATTAAATTAATACTCATGCCTTCCTTTTAAGTAGGTACATATTTTATTAAGCTTAGTTAAAAAAAAAATGGTTCATATAAACATAATTATTACATCTTGTAAATAAATAAACATAACCAAAACATTATTTAATATTATACCTATTAATTATATAAAAATTTGTATAAGATAATTATAATAATAATAATTATACATGAATAAAATATTATAAGTAGTTATAACAACTAATAACTGTAAAATATAAAAAAAAAAAAAAGGTAATAAAATGTTATTTATTGTGAATTAGTGTTATCTGTGTTATATGGAGTTAAGTTTTTAGTGTAGTAACTATTGTCAGAGTGACCTGTTGGTACAGATGTAGTAGAAGATTCAGTGTGAGGGGAGTTTTTTTGTGAATAGTATGAGTTAACAGTTGCAGTATCATTTGGTGTAACGGGTAGTTGTGGAGTAAGAGCAGATGATTGGCTATGTGGGTAATATACTTGATGTCTGTGAATGTTAGAATTGTTCCCAGCTATATTATGAGGTTCATAGTTTATGGGCATATTTGCATTTGTAGAAGGTGTTGGTGAGGCACTTGAAATGTATGAAGTTGTTGGTAGGTGGAAATTGAACGGGTATGTCGGGTATGAGTTACTATTATTATATGAATATTGCAAGGGTTGAAGAGTACTATTGTTAATTGAAGAAGGAATGGACTGTGGTTGAATTTGATCAGAATTTTTAGAAGCTTTTACTTTTTGAACTATTTGTATCATTTCAATATAAACTTGATTTTGCTGGTCTTCTGTCATTTTTCTGATTTGAGGAGCCAAAGACATCAGAAATGATGTCACCGGATCGTCTGAAACTCTGCGTTCTTTTAATACACGTATTAATTGGTTTTCATAAGAATTTTCTGTAGTCTTTTTTTTTTTTTCGATGAACAGCTGGAGACTCTTCTTCAGATACACCCGAGTGGTTAGCTTCTGCGGATATATCATTTTCATTGTCTGTGGTGTACTCTCTGTCGTTTTGTACAGCAACGTTACTCTCAGTGCTTTAGAATAATATTAAAATCATATTTAAAATTTATTTAGAAGATTTAACTATGTAAAAAAAATCAGTACATTACTTTCTGTTTTGCATTGTTGGTCGAAGGAACTCTAAAATATTTGCATATACATAAGGTTTGTCTGAATTTGCTGCCTGCCCGGATTTATGTGTACACTTTTTTCTGTAATTGTCCTTGATATTTTTAAATTTTATTTTGAGATCTTTTACTAATTTAAATCAACACATTTAATTACTTATTTAAATAATGAGACAATATCCAAAATAATATTAATGGTTAAGCATAGTGAAAAATAAAATAATTGAGATATTACTTATTTATGTATTTATTTATTTAATTATGTGCAATGCAATGACCAAAATTAAATGTTCAAAGTAGATAAAATATTAAAATTAATTAAATACAGGACATATTTAATTTATTTTATCAAATAACTAAAAAATATAATTGTTTACATATTTTACTTTTACTTTTTATTTGTTAAAATAATATATTCCAGTTACTCGAAATTTTTTTCAACATTGCAACAATGTTCAACTGTGTCATAATTAACACCTTTGCATACATTTCATATAAAAATTAGATTTATTGATTTGAGTAAAATTAAAATTAATTTATTTAATTGTTTATTTAGTAAATTAGTAACTAGGTATAGTGTTCTTAATCAATAGTATTTTTAAATATTTGTTCAGATACTTGGCAACAGGAACACATTACACGGCGTTACACTTTGAGTTTTTAGCAGGAGTATCTACTATAGCAAAGATAGTCCAAGAAACTTGCGATGTTTTATGGAAAGTGTTACAACCTTTAGAAATGGCGGAACCAACAACAAATGACTGGCTGGATATATCGAAAGGTTTTTACGAAAAAACGAACTTTCCAAATACTGTTGGAGCGGTATGTTTATTTATTTGTATACCTACTCATTTCATTGATTTAAAAAAAAAACGAATAATCACAGATTATTAATCATAGATAAGTGCTTACAAAATGTAGGTATTATAACTTTATGATTTTATCAATTTGTACGTAAATGTACGTACATTTTTACCAGTTAATTTCACATTATCACATATCCTATAATAAACTGTATAATATAATTATAGGTGGATGGAAAACACATAAGGCTCGAGTGTCCCAACAACAGTGGCTCATTGTATTATAACTACAAAAACTTTTTTTCCCTAATTCTTATGGCCATTTGTGATTCAAATTATTGTTTTCGAACCATCGATGTTGGGTCCTTTGGGAAAGAAAGCGACTGTAATGTATTCAAAACTTCAACATTCGGTAAAAAGTTGTACTCGGGTAGTGTACATTTTCCACCAGATCAATGCTTACCAGGTGATGATAATGGTGTGCCACAGCCTTTTATTTTAGTAGCCGATGAAGCTTTTGCTCTTCACAAACATTTGTTACGACCGTTTCCAGGCTAGAATGTTCGTTTGGGATTTTGTCTAAAAAATGGCGAGTGTTTCAAACGAGCATGTTAGTTGACCCAAATGTTGCAGTAAAAATAACAAAAGCCTGCTGCGTCTTACATAATTTTGTACGACGCCGAGACGGAGGAGACGGTGAAGGTATTTTTGAAGACACTCAAAGCAATCTCATGGAAAGTATAACGGAGAGAAGAGGTGTTGGAAATTCACAGACCAACGCAAAAGATATTAGGGAATACTTCGTGACATATGTGAATGATCCAAATCAAGCACTTAGCTGGCAGAACAAAATTATTGGTGAATAATATCGGGCATTTTAACATTATAAGTGGTCGCCTATAGGACTACAGATAGGTGATCTTTTTTTATTGTTTATATAAAACCGTGTATTTTATTTTTTTAACTAAAACTAGTTTGTTGAATAATAATTATATTAATCTAAATTTTACTTTTTTCCGATTTTTGTTTATCGTCCAGTTCATTAAATTTGTGAACACAAGCATTTGCTACACTTGTCCATCCCACATGAATCGCCTGACTATCATGATGACTTCTTTCCTCTAAATACATTATAAATTATAATATATATTTTTTATAATATAATAACTTCTATTCTAATATTAATTAAATTAGATTTATCGTCTTAGATATTTTAGTTGTCGTTAGTTATAATACTTATAACTTGCAAGTTGAAATATTATATAAATTTATAAATAAAATATAAATGTTCAATGCAATACTTACGTTTGTTCCAGATACAATCATTTTGTTGAATTTCAATTATAAATTGTTCGGTATCGATCATTTTAAAACTGAATACTAAATAGGTACTACTATAAAAAAAACTACTATGTGACCTATGAATATCGGTAGACGGTAGTACACTGTCCTCAGACATTGCAAGAGTTTCCGTTGTCAGGGCGCAACATTATTAATTTAGCACTTGTTTCAACCTGTCCACTACTCGCCTCGACTTGTTGACACTCGGCACTCTTTCGGTCCCACCATGTCTCCCCCTCGCCCATCACTGTATCCCGTATACACACACGACAACTGGACGTTATCTTGGGGGCCACAATACATATAGTACTATATTACACTCGATCAATATCGAATAATTTTTAACTATTTATAAAATGTCCACTTGTAAATAAAAATGTAACATTGAAGCAATGAATTTACCAAGTTCACACTTCAATCATGATTTTTTAAATATTTTTTACAAGACCCGGCGCTAGCGAACCGCGGCGGCCAAACCACCCGTCTGAACAGGTCTATTGGAAAAACATTGTTTAATTTTAGTGAGCGGTAGCGGTCAACCGCTCGAAAATTAAACAAGAGCGGTCGCAGGCGGTTGACCGCGCCGATCAGCGGCGCGGTTTTTCCCGTATGAATATGCCAATTGAATAACCCGTGTTTAATTGTCAGCGGTTATCCGCCGCGGATAAAAACCGCGACCACGCGCGGCCAAACCGCTCCGTGTGTAACCAGCTTAAGAGTATTTTAACTACATTATGTGTGTGACACATTTAATACAATTTATTGTTACAATATTTCAACGATTATAATATTTTAAGGATCTCGTAACGAAATCGAACACAAAACGAGTTTCTTGTAAAACAAAATACGTAGAATTACACAATACACTGGGTACTATATAGTATATAGGATCTCACTACGTTTTTTTTTAAATATTAATTATTATATTTGGCGTAAAGTTATTCTAAAAATAAATGAATTGTTAGAATCTGGATCTCATAGAGGTATTTTAGATACTTTGTTTGTACGAAATTTAATACCTACCTGAAATAATTAAATTATTTAAACAAAGATTTACTATTTACTTTAAATTTGGTTGTAACAACAAAAATCAACAGATGACAGAGAAAGAATTTTGCATATATTATCTGAATTTAAACTATGTATTTTGTGATTTTCTTTTATTATAATTTCTTGAGTGCTGGATTGTAAAAGAATGTGAGCAAACTTATATTGGCATTTCTTTGCTAAAGTTAAAGTAATATTTTTCCTTGATGTTGTAGTCCGAGCGTACATTTTTAATTCTCTATGTTTTCCTTCATATTTAAAACACCAATAAAACCTTGGAGGTCCAGAGTATTGAATAATAGTTGGGTAGTGAATTAAAAAGTGGTGTTTGGGTTTTAAAGTATCATTAAACAGTCTAATATACATTGAGTTATGTTGACTTATTAATTGTTTAAGGTCCATAATTTTGCCGTCAGTAAAATTACCTATATGAGAGAAGTAAATCAATGAGCTTTAACAGGGTTTAACAAGGTTAAGATGAATTTCCACACTTCATCGTCATCAGGAATTAAATCTCCAACCATAATTGGGAAAAAATGAATAAATGACATCATCTCCCTCGCAGACATTTTCAAATGACATTTATTTAAATGATTCACTGATATTACAGGTGAAATATTGCCAACTTCAATAGGGCCATAGTTAAAGTTGGTTTTACGTTTATTTAATGTATCTAATGAAAATATTTGAGCAGTATAAACATAATATTTAATGATATGACATATATCGTAGTGACAAATGCCTTCAAACACAAAGTGCATTACATCCACACAATAATTTTCAGTAACATGGAAACTATTTATTAAATTTAAAATTGAATTTTTATTAATACCAGTTTCACTGAAATCCATCTTAGCCACATCATCTGAATAATTTATACTGTTACGCATGCATAATATATTTTCTACACATAGCTTTTGGGCAATACTTTTATGTGTTTTACAAAACCGACAATAATAATTTGATGAAAACGATTTACTGAACTCAAGTATACTATTGAGCCCCAAATTATCACCCAATACTAAACCAAGAATAAAATATACTTGAAATTCACCATATCCTGTTGAAATACTAAGTCCTTCTTCTTCAAGAAAATTAATTTCATTAATTAATTGTAACAAACATGGGTCATTTCCAAACTCTTTAAGATCAGCAGATTTAATCAGTGCTGCTAAAAATATATTTGATAATTTTGAATTGTTTTCAACAAGCGGAAAACTGTAATAAATGGCAGCAATTGACTGGTAAGTAGCATGAGATCCTAAAGGGTTATTTATCTCAAAATCATCAATGTACAAAAAATATGGAAAAACTATTTTTCTCTCAAATTGAGTTATTTTTTTTCCCCACAATTTTCCTTGGACAAAATTTGAAAGAACATTTCCAGATGCTTTTAAACTTAGAAGACGGTCATACATCATTTTAAAGTTATTGCTATTTTCAAAAAATTGTTTGAATTGTAATTTTTGTGGCAAAAGATTCCCTTTGGTAATTTTTTCATTGTAATAAATTTCACCTCCTTGATTTACAGCACACAGCTCATTATTAATATTTATCTGTTGGACATTTGACAAGAGTTTATTATCAATCAACCATTTGTTTAAACGGTATTCTGTAGAACAGTAAATAAAAGGATTTAAAATTACAGTTTCTAATCGGTTAAAAGTTGATAATAATATGGGTTCTTTAATATCTTTATTAACTACATTTTTAAGTAAATAAGCCATTGGCTTTAAAATGTTTTCTTTTACACCAGATTGAATGTATTGGACATCACTAATATTAAAATTATTATTGTTGTAAAGACTTAAAATAAATTTTACAGTTGATTCATATAACAGTTTAGTTGAGTTTTCAAAATTGAAATTATCAGTGAGTTTATCATGAAAAGGCTCTTCTAAATCTAAACTTGGGTCATAACTCAGTTTAATTTTTTTTTGATACTTCTACATCAACATTACTGGTAGTGGGTATATTGTGATCACTAATTATGTGTTTTTTATTAACATACCTTTTAAATGAAGATAAGCAGTTAAACGACTGAGAGCAAGCATTTTCCAAGCATGTATAAGCACTGTCCGATTTCAATAAGTGAATAGTTTTAAAGTGGACCACCAAAGCTTGCAAATCACCAACGTTAACATTACACAAATAACAAATCATTTTCTTACCACGAGCTTTCGGCGTATAAAGTCCGGCGAAATCGTTTGTCGTACAAATTAAACAATTAAAAACACAATTTGCTGCAAAAACCGAATGAACGACGCGAAGAGTAACACAGTAACTTGCAAGGCGCAATCGTACAATGCGAGTAGGTAACGCAGACAATGAGCCGTTGGCGGTTATTTAGAGTTCACAAGACAATATTGTAAATTGTATTATAATTATCATAAAATCAAAATTATATCTCGTAAATTTTATAATATTATTGTCATATTGACAAGATATATTATCATTCTGTGACTCTTTGAACCGACAATGTTTCTTATCATATTAATAATACTTAATATTATTTTAATAAGACACATTGTTTATAATACAAGAAAATATTCCTCGCAACAAGATACTCATTGTTGACCCTTAATAATATTATATTGTTGTTATTACCACCAATATTTTTTTCAGTGTATGAATTGTTAGAATGTGGATCTCATAGAGGTATTTTAGCTACGTTTTTTGTACGACATTTAAAACCTACCTAAAATAATTAAATTATTTAAACAAAGATTTACTTTAAGAATCTCGTAACGCATTCGAATTTTTTTTCCATTTATGCATAATAAAATTGTTATTTACGAGTAAAAATTCTTAGAAAATCAATGCAAGGTTACTCATAAGTAGTTCTAATAACAATCAAAAATATAAAAATTAAAAACATACCCGTTTGAAGTTAGACTATCGGAATACGTTGACATGCAACGAAAGGCCGAAAGCTGCTAGATGAACTGCATATGAATAAAACAATGTACGTTGTCTTCAGTGTTTTTGAACTTCACCTAAATGGTTCTTTAACAACACAAGGTTCACCGTAATCCGTTGTAACATTTGTAAAATTATTATGAGGTTGCACTCGAAGTTTGTACATAATATGGTAAATCGGCCATGCATGATTGTGGTCTGTGGACAGAATTTTTGGTACCGAATACATGTAACACAAGAATAGACGATTTATCTTACAGTAGCTTGACCAGAAATGATCCAAAATCTCAATTGAATTGATTATGAATACTTCAGACTTATATTATTCATAGTCAATGCTATTAGGTAACAGATTAGCGCTACATTTTTTCGACCTTTTTTTATATAGGTACACTGTATTTATAAAATGTCCATCTGAGGATAATGATTTAAGGTAAGCAAAGAACGTTGTGCTTGTCATCAATACACCTTTCATAATTTTTCCAATTCAGAATTATCTATAGTAATGTGCTGTAAGATTCAAACGATTTACGTTTAATATAATTTAATTTAATTATATCCTTAACCCATACAGTTTCAAGCCTATTATCTAATTTTTTTTTATTTTGTAAAACAGTTTACATTCTTGAAATAAATGTATTATTTAGTTTTAGATTTAATGATGGTAAATAATATTATAATGTTGTGATATACTATAATACCTACAATATATAATGGTAGGTCACTGCAGCTAGTACTGTAAGTACCAACTATAAGTAATTATTATCATTGGAAGAAAATACTTAAATTCACACCATTTTTATGGGAACAAAATAAGCTTCGTGTAGTAGTGATGTATAGATGTAATAATAAATCGTTTTTTTTTACTGCTGTCTATGGTTATACTATACCGAGGTGCTAAGTTTAATAAGTAAAATAAGTTTATACACTCAGTTACTCAAGGTTCTTTCAAAGATAAATCTTATTATTCATCTTATTTTATTTTCCTCCCGTAGAAAGTATTAAGTAATCTTCAACGAATATACTTAAAACATATTTAATATGATATCGGAGAAGAATATCCAAGCTATATGAAATATTAATCCCCACAAAAACGTACCTATAGTACCTAAATATATTTACTGTCGAGAAACTTAAAGAAAATAAATTGCGTGCAATATTTGGACGCTGATATTGAAAGTATAAACTATCTTATGTAAAATATTTTTTTTTGAACCTCCTTCATGGCTACTTGTCTAACTTGAGAAACACAGCTAACGGTGAAACACATATTAACACAATATTTATAATATGTTATACATCATATGACGAACAAGAAAAATAGTGAAATAAACATAACAAACTGAACAAAACCATATCCTATGATCTCAAATAGAGGCAGAATAATTAAAATCATACAATAATAAAAATAATTGGTCCGTACTAATCAATCTAAACTGGGATCGTTGAAAAAAATATAAATTGGAAACTATAGTTTATAACAATAGTAGGTAGTTGAAGTTAAAAATATCAAATTAAAAAATATATTTATTTATTTTTTGATAAAAGATGTGTGCTAAGCACCTTTATCTGTTTTAGATTCTAAACGAAGCTATGAATATAGATATTGCTTTTACAGTGATGTGTGTTTTGTTTTTTTAAATTTACTAACCACACCAAACCTCACCACCTTTTTTATAAAGATAACTGGGAGAGTTAGTTTTCAGGCATTGTCCTATTGTAGTACAATAATAGTGTACAAATATCTGTAATAAGTAAAATAAACATTTTGTCATGTTACGCTGGCGAACGTTGGAATATTGCATGTTCGTGTGTAATAATCTTATACACGAATATGTCTGAAATTAGAAGAAACTTAGGATTCGTAACTCACGTGTGAACATACATTTTATTACTGTCACCCTAACTTGTAATTTCAAATGATGATTTCAGTTTATTGATTTAAACCAGTATTGACAAATTATGTATGTTGCCTCGGGCATTCGTCTATCGAACTAGGTGCTTATAGATGCTTATTAACACAGTCAACTTCTTATTTTTTAAAAACGTATACCATGGTAAACACTAAACACTGCTATTATTATGTAATTGTTAATTTAAAACGGTAGTCATTCAATCGATTCCTATCAATAAATATATTTCAATTAGACGCATCTTTTTAAGAGTTTAAATATTTTTTCATGCAATACAACGTCCTGACTTCTGTTTGGTCATTTAAATTTTTTAAAAAGTATTTTCATCGACTGCACTTTTTAATTAGTCGGACATAACTTACGTGCAACGAAGTTCCCGTGAGCTATATTATATGCATATAGCGTTAAATATTTGTAAACTTGTTCAGATATATTAATAATTTTACTGTGTTTTTAAAAATAGAATATAAATTATCTTATTTTATTATAATTTATTCTTCGATATGATAATGATTGATTGAGCCTCACTGAAAACGTTATTGTAAGGGCCCTACTGCTCTGCATAATTTATCTAACACAATGCATTACCCATATAAATAAAATATATATCGTTTTCATTAAAATAAATACTTTAAAATTTGAAAGTTTAATAAAATATTAAAATTCGAGAACAATTGAGGGGAAGTTATGTAGATTGCAATTATTTGTTGTGCAGTGTCTATACTTAGTATTGTTCAATTATAGAACAATTCTTGTTATACGTTTATAGAATTCGAAATACAAAAGAGGATTTTAAACTTCAATCATGGCTGTAATAATTATCATGACAAATTCTATAGGTATCATCACAGTTGTACTAGTTTTGCGCAGTAGATACGCATCTTCTTTACCTCCGGCCTACATCGTGGTTCTCCACTTCTCATTGGTTGATTTTGTTCTATGTTATATATGTATGTATATGATTGACAGCCAATAAGAAGTGGTGAACTACTGTATAGGAGAAGTAAAGAGCGGAGGATGCGTATCAAAATGCTGTGACGATACCTATATAGTTTGTCATGATAATTATGACAGTTTGAACAATAATTTATATTGTTAAACCTAGGCTTATACAGGGTGATCCATTTAAGTGGGTACACTAATTATCTCGAAAAGTATTAACTTTTTTTTATTTTTTATTTTTTTAAACTGTTAGATTTATGCTTTTCTAAAACTCTATACTATTTTAATTTTTTCACCTTTATATTTATTGGTGAAACCACTATCAACTTTTGATTTTCAAATGGTAACATATAATAAAAAGATCATGAATTAATAAACCCATTTTTTTTTATGAATTTACGCGTTAACATTTTTATTATTTGTTAATTGGTTTGCGAGATACAGCTCATCAAAGTATTGGTGGTTGAAAGTCGGTACCGCTGGAAAATTTTCATTTGTAAAGCCCAGAAGCTATAACTGATAAATTCGATACCGTTCGACCTAACTACCTACGGTACGTAACATTAAACATATTGATAATTGTTGTACTTTGAACCTGATTAATTGAATGTACATTACACCTATATGCTAATTTGACATTGGCTTTTGTTGACATTGGCTGTCGCACCAGATCCCCTCCATATTACGATAGAACAATAATAATCCTATTACTATTACCTACCGATATTTGGCGATACCTTTATCATAATCTATGACCACGGTCTTATAAGATAATAGAATTGATTAAAATATTATATCCTAACCTAACGATTATAAAGAACAGGTTATGCGTCGGAAGGAATATTTTCGGTCAGATTCTGTTACGGCGGTGTAGTTCTTAAAAGTTTTAAGTTAAAACCGCCGAGCGCTGCAAGTCATCCGTGTTACATATTAACATTTTCATATACAAACCATGTAATCAACTAATTTTTTAATTAATAAATTGATAAACCTTTTGTTTTAATATTAGCGTTTTATTCATAGGCAATTCATGGACCTGCATTTTGGGTGTAGCTTACTGTATTTTTAGACCTCTCTTTTTTTATTTCTGCCCTACTAACAATGTATACAAACTTTGATAATATTAATTTATTTTTCATCAAATTAAGAAAAATAAAGCAGATTCTTTTACAAAAAATGTTTAATTTACAAGTTATTACGTTATACATTGTGTTTCGAAAAACTTGTCTTATATTTTAGGCAAAAAAAATGTCACAAACTATTTTAAGATAGTGCCTAATTTAATTTAATATCTGGAATTCCATAATTAAAAATTATCTTTTTTATTGTTTTCTTTTTTTATATGGGTTTTAGTCAGTGTTTCCAGATTAAAACAAGTCAAATTCCCTTTCAATGATATAATATTTCCCGCTTACCTTCAAAATGTCCCACACCTAAAATTTTTTTATCGCTTCGCTCGAAAGCATAAAGTACTATTAAACCTTAATTCATGGATTATCGTCTTTCATAACATAAAATAACAGATTATTAAGGACTTCTTCCAAACAAAAATGTAGTAACAAATTCGTATCCTAAATGAACTTACGAGTTACAGTAATAAAATTTACCACACAATGTATCACTAAATATGTCAAGTATTCCAATATTCCAACTTTTTAATAATTAATAATTTCAATAAATATAATTTTATTATAATATATTCATATGTTACATATCACTTGTATTAAAACAATAAAAATTAAATGAGAATTATGTAAACAAAATTAGTAATAACTAATAGGTGCTCTAATTTTTAAGGCTAGATATTAATTACTTCAATACAACTCATTTAGCATATAGATAAATAAAATAGTAACAAAATTATGAAATTAACAATCAAATATAAATATTATATATTTATATGTTACAGATAAGTAACTATCACTTGTTTGGTATGAAAACAATAAAAAATTAAATACAAATAAAATAGTAATTAAATATGAAATAAACAACCAAATCATTTCTTATATAAATTATCTGAATTATTTAATGCTAAATGCTTTTTAGTTACTTCAAAATTCAAACAATTTATGTTCTTGGCTCCATAAGCTGATCTTATAACCGCCACTGAGTTTAAAGTATCATCTCTTATACGATTGCATTTTTTTTGTCTTAACATCAGTTACAATTGAAAAAATTCTTTCAGCCTCAGCATTTGAGTGAGGAAGACTCAGGCATGATTTAGCCAGTTTATAAATGTTTTGATATAAGTAAGTATCAGAATAATCTTTCATGCTGTTAATACAATACCAGAACTCATCAATAGGTAATAATAATAGCCTTGCTTTTTCATTGCCATTTATTAAAATTTACATACGTCTCCACTCACTCTGTAATATGTTTAATTCAACATTTTCATTCAATTGGCCTATGATAATTTCAAAATTTATATCTACTTCGTCTGTTACTTCATGTAATGCCACCTTTGGATCTAGAAATTTGAGCTGCTGGAATAAATGGTTATTAATTGGCAATCTCTTTTTTATTTCTAGAGCAGCTGTTATGTAAAACTCTAAACATTTATTTTTAACTAATTCAGTGGCTTCAGCAGAAAAGTCCTTGATATAGTTTCCGCATTCTGTTCCCAAAACCATATCTTTAGCAGCCAAATAATTATTTGGATCCACTACATTCACATCCTCCAACGATTTATTAACAAGAACATTTAACTTAATGTAATTACTACAAAATTCTTTCAAAATATTTACTGAAGCTTCATACATTTTATGAATCAAAACATTCCTACTCTGGAATAAGGCATTAAATGAATTAATAATATTTAAAACATATTTTAAAAATAATAAGTAAGCTTTGTTGTAATTATTTTCCATTGCTGCAAGAATAATAAATATTTAGAATATTTTGAGCAGCTAATAATTTATCTTCCACAACAGCAATTCTAAAAAGTGTAGTAATACAGCCCAACAATCTAGAACGCGTGATACACACTGGTGTATTGAAAGCCTGGTGGAAGCTAGTTTCAATATTTTTTTTCGTTCTACGTGAAAATAGTCTCGTAACTCACACAACTGTGCATAGCGTTTTGCACTGCCAGAACAGTAAGTAGCTATATTTCTAATTAGCTCTTCGGGCTCTCTTGGAAGTTTTTCACAAGCTTTCCCAGGTATTAGAGCCGATGAATGACACAAACATTGCATTAATATTACAGACGGAACATCACATTTCAAGTGGGAAAAAAAAGAATTATTTTTCCCAACCATGACATTTGCACCAACCGATGCTAGTCCTATAATATTTGCTAATGGGATATCTTTTACAGTTAAACAATTTTTGAAAGCATTATATATTTTTTCTGCAGAACAGTCAGTTGCATCCAATGACATCAGTTCTAATAACTCTGTTCTTACCAAACCATTTATAGGTGATACGTATCTTACCAAGGTACACATAAATTTATAATATGTAATATCCGTACTCTCATCTACGAGAATTGAGAACTTTACATTTTTCAAATTTTTAATGGTTTCTTCTGTTTCAACTGTATTTAGTACATTTTTAATAATACTAGTACACTTAGTCCTATTTAATGTTATACTTTGTGCAATATTAGAGTCATAGAAACTTTTTTTTACTACGTGCAACAAATGGTCTGCAACCTGAAATGCCACATTATGCTCCGCAAAAAATGAAGCTAACCTTATCTCTGCTTCTTTTACAGCAACACTCTGTTCAAGTTTTGTATTTTTAAAAGATTCCTCAATATTTCTAGAATTTTTTATGACCTTAACATTCTCTATATGTTTTTTTTTCCAGCCACATGTTTCAGTAAGTCACTTTTTCCAGAATTTAACAATACCTAAAAACACAACATCACAATTCACAAATTATTTAAATATTTAATGGGTGAAAATGTGAAATATTATTTAAATAACTGTTGTAATAATCATATCTCACCTTGCAGGCTGTACAATGAGCTTTATGACCATTATTTGGAACTTTTTGTAACCATCCCTTGAATTCAACACACTTTAACCAATCGTCAGAAAAAAACTTTGGGCGGTGTATTGTATGGCTCAATGTTAATATCTTCATCATCAGAATTCATTTAAATTTTTTTCGTGTTAAACACTTAAGCACTTTAACAGGTACAAGAAAACAAAAGCTCGAATTTTATCTCTACAGTCTACTCAACAAACTACAATGGTGACAAGGTGTATAAAATATAAATGTATTAATAACTTAATAATTTATTTACCCATCAGCTGGTACCTTGTATTTAAGCAACAAAATACTCTTGATAGGTAAATATCAAATGTCGAATAATAATAAATTGATCATGGAAATACAGATTATTACTCGCGATAAAATATTATATTTAATGATTATTGATTAGACACTATTATAAAATAAAACATTAATTTTTTTTTTAACGTTTCGATTTTCCCTATTTTTAAGTAATATTCAAATTTCTTTCCTTTTTCCCTCCGCCAGTCATCGTGCCAATGGTTCGTGGTATTATTATTATTGTCATGTGTATTAATAATATATTATTATCTCGTTTTAAAATTTTTTTATAGTAGTTAAATAAAATAAGTACTTACATAGTTAAAAGTTTGTTTTCTGAACAATATTGTCGTCGAGTCGGTTAGCGTGACAAATGTTGTTCTATGTCTGCATATTATGTTGATTAAACTGATACCTTTCATTTAAAAATGTTGGGTAATGGGTTTATATAATAGTTTTTAACCCCTCTTCCAGCGTTTTTACGATATATTGTTACAAAATGTATTTGACATTGAAAGTTTAATTTATTTTTTGTTATATTCTTGTAGAGCTGATTTTTTCGAAATTTTACTGTGATGAGGTCACTGTGTGTTACATTCCCAAACATGTTTTAAAATTTAAAAAAGGGTTATAAGTATTTGAAGGTTTACATTAAGAATACTCGTATGCATACTAATTATATATTTATCATATAATGCTTTTAGAAACTTATCATATGCAGTAGATACACAATTTTAATTGGCATGAAATATTGTATACATTTTGCATTATAGATTGCGGGAACTGTTTCCTAACTAAGGAAGTTCCTAAACAATGATATTGAATATTATTTTATATTATAAGTATTATTAATTTAAATCGGTAATATGATTTAATTATTTGCTATTAAAATTTGTGTTTATTATAATCATTATTTTTTGTAATTTCTACAAAATGAAGGTACCTAAGTTTAGTTAGAATCAATTTAATTATAGGTATGTAGAGATTCAAAGACAATTTATGTTTAATGACCGGTAAGTTAATATGAAACATATTTATGCAGATCACTTTTTTGTCACTTTTATGAATAAATTCAGTCACTTAGTCACTTATTTAAATAGAATTAACCACTTCCAGCCCTGCAGACGTCGTCGCCGCTGGCGGCCAGGAATCAGAAATCAGAATACAAACCGTTCAGCGACGAGTTCAGACCAGCTCATTTCGCCCGAAATTTGCGAAATTTAGAAAGTTATCATATGCAGTAGGTACACAATTTTAATTGGCATGAAATGTTGTATACATTTTGCATTATAGATTACGGGAACTGGTTACTAAACTGTTTTTTTTTTTTTTTTTAATGCAGAAAGGTCATTGTATATCAAATAACTAACAAGTTTTTTTATAGAAGTGGAAAAATCAGACTATATATACCAGTGTAAAATAATAGATACTTAACAGTCTTCAAGATTTCAATTCTACAACAGCCACAATGCCATATTATCATCGGTCAATAACTTCTTCGGATTCAGAGGTTAGTTAAAAAAAATAATATAAAATATTTATATACAATACTAAAACAAATTAGAAGTCAGTCTTAACACTACTCAACTCTATGGTTATAATCCATGAAACAAACATATAAACTTAAAATGATATTAAATGTTTGACATAACATAGAATATGTTAATAATAGACAATCAAATAGAATAATAATATTGAACATTTTTAAATACATAAAAACAAATCATAAAATAATAATCAAAATGTCAAATATAGGTAGGAACAAATAAAAATTGGAACAAAACATAAAAACTAACGAAAGTAAAATATTAAAAATGCAAAATATTAACTACAAAATTAAAAAAGAATGTCTGTAGTCAAAACTTCAAAATAAACAAATATAATAATAATCAACATTTTCAAAAATATCTAAAAGAAATTAAAAAAAAATAGCCATAAAATAAGACTAAAATAATATTATATTGAGATAAATGTTGCTTAGAACTTAAAAACATGCACAAATTTAAATTTAAAATGTAAAATATAAAAACAAAACTATAACAGAATAACGTTGGTCAATACATTAAAAAATACAAAAATTTAAAAACTTAAAAATTAAAAGAAATAAATTTGTTATAGATTTTGATTTAAAAATTTTACGTGTGAGGACTTAGTGGCTAGCATCCGTGATCTTTTTTCAATTATGACCATACCTCCTTAACTGAACAATCTTTCGCATGGAACTGAGGTAGCTGTTACACATAGCCGTTTTCTTACCATTATAAACAGACGTGGATATAATTAGTTGTGTACAGTCCACCATTTCAAGGGATCTTCAAATCTGTTTATAAGTGGCTCCTGTAAGTACTTGTCCAATTCGATAATTCCAGCTGCTGTTGGATTAATTGAAGTTTGACATATTTCATACTGTTCATCAAATATTTTCCAGAGCAATGATGTAGAAGGAGTAGAAGAAGAAGAAGTAGATGGATTTTCAACTATGGTTGATGTAGTTGAATTAGCTGTACCAGGCAAAGTCACTTGACAGACTTTCCTCTTCAACTGATCGATTGCTAACTCCAATTTCCGTTGTTTAATTTCAAAATTAAATTAAATTAAATGTCAACTTTTTAAACCTTGGATCAAGAAGAGCTGCCTGTGTCATAATCTCATTATCTTCATAGTTTGAAAATCTGAAATTTAATTTTTCCAATAACGTCGTGACCAAATCTTGAACTTAATTTGGTAAGGCTGTGTTGTTTTGAAAGCTCTGCATAGTGTCATTCATTGCTCGTATAAAAATTAGTACTTTGGACATGCTTACATTGTGTTCGCTGCTTATTTCATTTGTCACTTCTGCAAATATTTGTAGAATATTAGTTGACCATTCAACAATTTGCCACTCTACACCACCGTCAATTGTTCCCCATCACAATGAAGAATAGCCAAAGTGGAAACAACAGCATCTTTGATTTCAATTATCGGTTTAAACATGTTATGTGTGCTGTTCCATCTTGTAACCACATCTTGCTTTAACTTCAATGGTGGTAAGCCCATTTGTTGTTGCATTTCCTGGAGTTTGGACTGGGAATTTGAACTCCGTTTAAAATGCTCCACGATGGATTTCACTTTTTTTTATACATGGCTGATATTCTTGAGACCTTTCTGGACAACTAAATTTATACAATGGGCAAAACAAGGTACATGCCAAAATGTTCAGTCTCTAATGGCTCCTACAATAATGGGTGCATATCACTTACAACTGCAGCCACTTTCTTTTCAATATTCCACTCTCGAACAGTATTTTTTTAAAACAAAGACAAATTTTCAGAGGTATGCCGTTCTTCAAATTTCTCACAGCTAAGACACACAAATTGAAGTGATGCATTTTCATCAATGAAGTGAGCAGTAACTCCAATATAGCTCTCATATTTGATTGATGTGAATCCATCTGTTGTCAAACACACTGCAAAACAATTGGTCATGAGAACTTGTATTTTCTCATGAGTCTGGTGATAAAGAAGAGGTATCATGCTGTTGGACACGGTTTTCCTCGAAGGCAATATATAACCACCATTCAACATCTTCAAAAGACATTGAAATTCTTGGTCTTCAACAATGTCAAATGGATAATATCTATAAAATAAAACATTGTTTCAGTTATTTTTATTTAAAATTTATAGTTACTTTTTAGTGTATAGAAGTGTCATCTTATTATTATAATTTTTGTATTTACCCCTTAACAATTATTTTAACCAATTGAAGATCTATTATTTTTTGATGATTGACATTTAGTGGTTTTGTTTGATTGAAATAACCTGACAGTGTGGTCTATCCATTTGTACGATGCCGTGATGTTCCTGACGGCCCAGCTGTAGTTTGAGGAACAGTCTCAGATGTAGATGGACCTTGAGTTGATTGTGATGTAGATAGACCGTGAGTTAATTCACATCCGGGCATAATTGGGTCATCAATAATTTGTAAAAAAAATATTGTTTTTCTACATTAAAAAAATACTTAATAAAATAATATATATTTTTAGTGCTGTTGCATTTCTTGTTTTTGTATTTAATGGAATTAATACATACTTTGCCCTCATGTACCGTTTTAAATTACTTAAAGATCCACGTGCACTACTGATTTTAGCTGAGCAATATCCACTCTGTGGCTTCTCATGTTCTATTTCAGTGAAATGATTCCATTACTATAAATTTAAATAAAAACTTATTTTTTAATTGATATTTAACTAAAAAAATTATGTACATACTATCATATGTTAATAATAGTTAGGTACCTAATAATTACATTTATTTTTATACAAATAGTACTTTTTTGACTTGGTACTATACATTTAGTATCTCACTGTCTATTCACAGCACTTATTTTAACTAAAGTAAATTGTTGAAAAATAAAACTATATTGAAAATATATAATTTACCTGTATTTTTTTTAATAATCAAAATTAATTTTATTATAATATTGGTATATGTATAATTAGTAGGTAAGAATGTAAGATATAAAATTGTTAATAATAAAAAAATGTCAACATTTGTATAAATAAAATATATGATTCATCAGTGGCGTATATAGGGGGGAGGCCCCCTAGGCCAGAGCCCATATTTTTGTGCATTTGTTTTCAAGCAAAACTAAAATCTTAAACTTTGAAGATTGATTTTGGTAGAAAATTGAACCTAGTGAGTGAAATGTCGAAGATTTCCAGTAAATAATTAATAATTTCTAAAAACCGATACTTAAAATTTGGAAATCAAAAATATTTACGCAACATCAGTTGAAAAAACTTAATTTTTATTGATCTCTATTAAAAATCT